CCTGCTGGAAGCCAAGGACTATTTGAGCCGTGAAGGTTGCTCCCGATCCCCTCCAGATCACAGCAATCAGAAACCTGTCCTCAAGATAAAGAGCTGCAGGACGCGGTACAACTGTCACCGCTGCAATGTGTCCCCCATGTGTAGCGGTGCCCTTCTGCTGACTGCTGGAGAGCCCCACCTCAGCCATTTGGAAACTGCCGCTTTTGACTTATCCTCGCACTGCTCCGAGGTGGGGAGCTCTTTGGAAAGGACACGGCGCTACAGGTCACAACGCCAAAGCTTTCAATAATGCAGGATGAAAACACACCGAGATACAAATGAGGTGGTGGAGTCTCCTTCTCTGGAGACTTTCAAAACCCGCCTGGACGCGTTGCTGTGTGACCTACTCCAGGTGGTCCTGCTCTGACAGGGGGGTTGGACTAGATGATCTTTTGAGGTCCCTTCCAACCCCTAACATTCTGTGTGATTCTGTGAAATACACGTGAGATTCGATCCACCCTCTAAGCATTTCAATTTGCAAGTAATTTATTGGTTTTCTCTTTAATTACTAGACACAGCTCAAAATACACACATGATGTGTAAGAAACAGGGAGAAGAGAAGGAACTTAGTAAAACTGGGTTTGAAGGATATCTGTAGAAAGTTGCAGGATTGCCACTGTTGCTGTGCTTTTAAAAAGCACTGTGAAAAGCTGAGGTTTCAGAAATTCAAAGCTCGTGCAAGGATCAGCAACGCTGCAGCCTTAGAGCCCAATAAGCAGACTCAGGGTATCACCTATTTCATAAACAGGCTGGTAAAAAACTGGGAATCCAGGCCCCACTCAAGAGCTGTTAATCAGGAATGGGCTCTGCTTGGTAGAGGGTGCCATGCCTGCATGGTGCAGGCACAGTAAATCCCCAAACTACTTTTAGTCGAAGCGGTACAGGCCTGTAACATCACGTGCTGAGCCCTGAGGGCCAGATGCTCACAGCTGGCTCTCACCCATGGGCCCGTAGCTAATGAATTTGAAGGGCTGTGTTCAGTGCAGCCAGTCGCTGCAAGCCCTCCCCAACCCACAGCTCATCTCCCCAGCCACAGAGCCCAGTCCCAACGATGGTCTGTACTTCCACATGTCTAAGGGAAGAGAAGAGGAAAGCGATAGAAATACCTCTAATGTTTACTTGTTTACATGCATGTCTTAAATGCCCTTGACATCATTAAAAAAAATCACAAGTTTTAACCGCATGACTAGCAACACATTTTCTTTTCACCTGCAGTCAAATTTACAGTTGTGTTTGTTGGCTTGTAAATCCATGGATTTCAGCTCCGTGCGGACAGACCCCACAGGAGCAGGAACTCTAAAATTCACACATTCTCCCTCCTTTCCAAGGAAACACTGAATTCCCATTCTTAGGGGCCTGACCCAAAGCCAACACACGCACTAGCCAAAGCACTACTGTCGACTTCAGAGAGCTCTGAATCAGGCCCTATTATTTTAGTTTATTGCTCACAGTTAAAAAAAGAAGCTGTTGAAATGCTAATCCTATTCACAGCACCACTTGCTAAAAGCAGAGCAGTGTATCCCCGAGCAGATCAGGATTAGGAGCCTTTATATTTCAGAACTCAACTCTAAAATACTGAGCGCAAAGAAGTGTATTACAAAGTATTGCTTATCTACCACGGAGCAATTCTCAGGGGTCGGGAAGAGGAACAGTTGTAAATGTTAATAGAGCTTCTCCCATTGTAGACGGATGCTATTTCTGGGCTAGTATGACAGCCTATGAGAAAACGATCAGCATCGTTCCATATTCTACTCAAGTGACACTGCTGCATGGCTGATCACAGGATTATCTGGGGTAGCCAATAGAAGAGAGGATATATATAGAAATAAAAGTATTCTCTAAGGTATAAAGTAAGCTGATTTAAAAGGCTGGAAGACAAGCAAGCCAACATAGAGAAGTGGACTTTATTTCAGTAGCTGCCAGCATAGGTTACATGGTCTGTATACACAACGTAAATCAAGAGCCAAATAATAGCATTCCTTACTATGATTGTTACTATTTTGTAAATATTATTTAAAACTTGCACCTAGCATTCTCCCTCTAGTTAGTGAAGATTTAAGATTAAGGAAAGCCATGCACAGATGGGTTTCTAACTTTTACATTTTTTTTTTAATTGGTCTTATGAGCACACTGGCTAGGAAGACAGAAAGCACTTCCTGACAGCTTAGCAGACTGGAAAAAATAACTCAGCCGAGTTCCCTGCTGCATGCCACTTCTATGTGGGACAAGCAGCCCTTACTGCACACACGCTGACAGACGAGCACTTCCCTGCTCACAAACACAACACTGAAACTAACTTGGGCTGATGAGAGTCAGAAAGCAACTCCTTGTTATTGATACGAGATGTCAGGTAGAAAGCCATGAAATGGGAAAATTTGGCGCAAAGAGGATGCTCAGAAGCAACAGGAGAGGAGCAGGCCTTCGAGGTGGGAGAGCTAACAAACATCTCGAACCTGCAGCGAGGAGGGAGGACGCCTAGGATGCCTGCATGGCAGCCAGGCCAGTGGTACTCGCTCACTGGGACGTCCAGGGTGACGAGCAGGACAAGGCTCAAGCAGGATGGTGGAGATGTTAGCTAGCTGAGGAGCTGCAGAGACGACTCACAGGAGTATAAGGGCAGCGTGTCATTTGCACAAAACTAAGCAGACTGCGGCATCTGTAACAGAGAAGGGAACTGCAGATGCTGCTCAGATAATGAACAGCACAGTGTGGCAGCGTGTGCAGCCTTTGGAGAAGGGCAGCCATACAGAGCAACTCAAGGCTGGGCACAGTCAGCCAGCAACCGCTTCTTGGTCACCTCTGGGTTAAGCAAACTACGTTTTATATCAGATTGGCTTGTTTAAAAACATCTTTGTCCTTGGCGGAGACGGTTTTCTTTACCAGCACCATGAGGAGACAGACTGATGGGGTCAGCAATGAGGAGACAGCATTTTCCAGACAGTGAGTGGGGACATACAAAAACGAAAAAAAAAAAAAAAAATACTCCTGACAATTACTATGAAATCAGAGTGGGGCATTAAATTCAGAGATGCAACTAAATGGGCAAGAGCACTCATAAACACATCGAGCATGAAAGCAAAGCTAACCACCTTATTAGCATCCTTCAGAAAACAGGGACGTGTGGTTTTATGAAAGTATATCATTGCTAGGTTTAAAATACCCACTGAATTATCAAAGGACTTTCAGTTATAGCTGCATGCAGTAATTCTATTCTCTTAAAAAAAAAAATACAGACATATATAAAAATACAGTGACATTTATAGTCCTAGCTAAGGGTTTTGTGGGTTTATTCAGCTTTAAATCCATGCTGTATATGAGTCTTTTGAACTAGTTGATGCATGTAACTACATCCTGTACCACAGAAGCCGCTGAAAGGAAGATTCACTTTATAGGCCAAAGCAAAAATTGGTTTGGGACAAACAGAGCATTGAGATAATCTGTTTAAATATTGTATCAGATTGACAATATAAAGCCATAATGGAAAAAACAATTTCCCCTTATACTGAGGGCTGGATACACAGGGCATGGATAAAGCATGGCCCACAAGCTGCTGCAGAGCACAGTTGATTCCTATTAGGAAAGAGAAGTAAATGTATTCTGTTTAACTTTATTAGCCACAAAGCTCAGATAATGAATTTAAAATAAAACCACCCT